TAAAATAATCAAAAACGTATATTTAAAAAAAGTATCATCTAACCTGCATACATTATATGCAGTAATGCCTCAAAATGGTCATTTTTGCTGCGAAATATAAACACTTGCAGTCCGTGACATGTGAAATTGGAGCCTTAATACATGTGAAACAATCTTCGAAGCCGCTATGCGAAGGGGTGTGGTAATGTCTGTAGAATAAACATATAAATACAGGGATGGATTAGCCAAAACACAGACCTTCCTAAAGATCGTGTCCGTCCAGTAAACTGCGAAAAAATGGACAATTAAGTGTAAGCTGAGTGCTCTGACAATATAGAGATTTCAAAAAGCACGAATTGCGGCTAATAAATACAGTTTAGGGGTTCTTGTACATTTTGCCATTATAATTTATTAGAAATGTGATAAGTTGAATAAAACAAAAAAGATGAATACTGTATGTTCGACATTGATATCGGCCGTTAGTACTGCCTTCGTTAGAACACAACATCGGATACATGCCACCAAAAATGTTATGCATGGCCGTTTGATTTAAGGTAAGTTTGCGCTAATACAGACTGGGCTTTATCGAATTAAGCGAAATGTGCTACTCGGTAATCGCGTAATATTCACAGGTTGCAAACGGAAAGACGTTATAAACTTGGTAAATGCGTGGGGACCTGCGTCACCTGTATAAAGGCACTGCATGTCATGGCAGTAAACGTCAATCACTTAAACCATTCAGCAATCCCAATAATTTTGGAGTTCATAAGCATAAACAGAAAACATAAAAAACTTAACACATTTGCCAATGACTGGCAAACTAATTAACAAACACGGCTGCGTGCGATAATAGAATACACGAGGAAACTGATTACTGCTTTCTGTGACCTATAAATGCTCGCATTAATTGCAATTTACCATCTCAGTGCTGACAGAATAGTTCTTGTTATCCTAGTTACTGGTTTGATTGAATGCAATCCCTGCTTTTACCGTTACATGCTCATGGTCCGCCCCTGGAAATTAATCATAACCTCGTCACGCTCCTCTTTCTGGAACAGTGCAGGCTCTACCGAGTTCCTAATTTATGAAGGTACGTCTGACATTTAAGGCTAAGTTGCCGAAGGATCTGACGTCAGTATACGCAAGGTGCTTCCGAATTCCTTTTAAATCTATGATCCCGTTTTATTTCGAAAGCATAATTAGCCGAAAGTTCATGTTGGTTGACCAACCCCGGAGAGGTTCAATTTATGGGCTCATTTTAAAAAATAAACCTACACCTTGTTACTGAGAGCATGAATTTTAAATATGGTATAGAAAAACCAGAGAAGAAAACTATTTGAAGCGTCCTGGCAATAATTCCATTCTGCGCAGTATGATTAAAAGTAATAAAATCTCCTCGTTAAAACATCAGACACAATTATCGAATTCCAACGTCTTAAAGTTCTCCTCGACAATAAACGTCACTGTGAATGGAGGAAGGGGTAAACAGAATAGGCCCTGAGTAATAGTGATGAGTCGAATACGCGGAGTGAAGGTGAATTCAAAGAGTAAACTACTTCCGCGAGAAATATGGAGGGACGTATCATCATCACCTTGTGTGAACGTCGGCCACCGAATACAATTAAAACGTTTAGTTTACTGATACTATGTTACAGATAAGGGTTCAACTGCAAGGAGCTTCGCTTGGTATTGTTAAGTTCGAAAACGGACCGAATATAATGTTAAACATCTTCGGTTGTATAAAGATTTAAAAAACTGATTCCTGCTTTGTCCTGGGGCTCTACCTACGACGCGACGTGACAGCTAATCAGAAAATGCCACCGGGGCCTCATTCATTTATACAGACTTCAAAGAAGGCAGCTTGTATAGATGTAAATGTGACCTCAGGCGCTGAGTGGCCTACATTTGCGGGTCTACGTCTCTATTGTTCACGAAAAAAGTGCGCAAACGTTAGCACTGTCATACTCTATTGGCTCAAGCGCTGTGGGACATGCAGGTCGAAAAGTTACTGAAGTAATTCGATTTTCATCAAATTGTCACGTGCATCACATATAGCTAAAAAAAAACAAGACATTCGAAAAACGTGCATGTGCCCATACTAATGAGGTCAGGGTTTGGACGAAAGCCTTTTGCATATCTTACTGCTAGAAAAACACAAAATGTTATTACGACTCGCCAAATACACCGAAAAAGTACATAAGTGGTGGTATGAAACCGGACATACCTACATATTTTTGCGCACTTTCAAAGCATTTATTTTTCTAACGGATGAACATTAGTCGCCGAAGCTTGTCTCTAACTGCCTTTCTTTTAGTAAAGTTGTTGTCAAATATATAATTGTGCAACTGAATTTTACGTCGATCCTTTCGCTTCAACATGATGATTTTTGAAAGAGGTTCGTTGTAGCAGACGGCAAAAACAAAAACGACTGCGTATATAGAAAACAATTGCCATCAGTGATTATGGAGGCTTACGTAAGGTAAACTGTATGGTATGGAATTTATACAGCAAATTGTTTTTGTCGATCTCAGTTGGTGGTAAGGAGCATATCTTTCAGACGTTCTGGTGAATAAATTGCTATTTTTCGCTTCTTAATAATGATTAATCATTAAATTTAAAGGTGTCGTGCTTGTGCATCTTCAAATGTTGCTTATAAAGTGTTCAACACTACCCACACCTACTGCAATATTTTCTTATTATTATTTACTTTCTCAGGTAGTAGAGAGACGTATGATTTGCCAAATATGGAAATATTGTAGCATGTAGCTTGAGAATGCGTAGTACATGGATAACGCCAGGCTAGATTCGGAATCATTAGAGAAGTACACGCGCTTTTTAAGACCTTAAGGTACAGAGTTCGACAAAAGGACTCCACAATTACGAATACTGCCAACAAGTGATTACCAAGCATGATACTTCTGTATATTAATCACTAATATATACTTAAATGTATCAGTATCTCAAAATGTTTTGATAAAAATGCATCCACATATATACGCAATTGGCATCACGGTGTAGTTGACATCTCATGCAAACCCAGTTATCGACCAAATATATGCTCAATGATTATTCATAAGCAGTGGCACGCTCATGGCCTGAAGAATGATTATTTCCCTGCAATATATCTTCCAAGTCAACGATTTATCCCGATCTTAGTTGTAGCTGTTGCATACGCAAGGCGGTTATTCGTTACCTTCGAGTGCATCAGTATTTTCGAAAGCAATAACAATAGAGCAACAACTAATATGCATAGTTTTGTAAAAGTGTATCAATCACTGTGAGGAACACGGCCAACTATTCACAAGCTTTTAACGGGCGGACAGTAGTGTAGCCTACGTCAGTATTTAACATGACAGAAGCACAGATGCTAGTTAAATGCGCAGGCACGTGTTTCATTAATATTTTATTGCTGCATGTCACAGCGCCAGGGGTTAAACGTTAAAAGCCGTCAACAACTGAAAGAACTGCGGAGTTCAAAGACAAAAGCAAAAACGAGAAAAAACCTTGCGCATTTACCAGTGACTGGAAGATAAATAAAAACATGCCCATCCTATGATATGGCAATATCTGTGGACACTAACTGTTTGAAGGTTGCAAAAAGTCCCATCAGAGTAATCCGAAGAGCGATAGGGCAGCGTACGTATACTTTCAATTAATTCTCAATAGGCCGGTACATTTATATGGGAGGGGTTTAAAGTGTAAAAGGTTAAATTGTAGGTAAATTACGTTCTAAGTTAAAGTCAAATTAGTCCAGGGAATAAGGGAGGGGGTTGATGAGAATAACTAGCCGTTAATAAAGCGGCAATTAGGGAGTGGGGGGAGGGGAGAAAGGAGGCGCGGAAACAAATGCCGGTAGCTAATTGGCCGTTGGCCATGCTTAGCTTTGAGCTTGTAGTAGGTTTTTCTGCATACACATAACCGCCTTCTTCAGCCGGATAGCGGTTGCTTCTGTTGTTGCTAGCAGGCGCTGACCCAGTGACTTAGGGTAGTTTGGTGGGACATTGTAGATCACCCTGGAGGCTTCGTTGGAGTCCACCGATGTTCGGAATCGACCATGTGTTGTTGATGGTCCTGATGATATTGACTTCACCTTTGCTTAACCATTGCGGGACGTGTTCCTGTATTCTTTTGGATAGGCGCCAACTCGTGCTACCAATATAACCTGCCGACAGGAGCAAGCAAAGGAGTAGATGCACATGGAGCAGGTCTGAGCCGGTAACCTGTCCTTACATTCCCCATGTAAGTCCGGGTTGGTTGAGAATAATACCCAAACCCTCGCTGCTGGGAAGGTTCGTGACATGGCCTCGTCAGGATGTCTTTTCAGGAGTTCATCTGCCGCGTCTCCTGGAAAGGGGACTTTGAGAAATAGGGTTTTCTTCTTCAAAGTAAGTATTGTGGGTTTCTCTCTGTTTGACAGCCATATTCCTGGTAATACATCTCTCAGGATACCCGTTCTCGCGAAGTAAGCCCTGTATCTTCTTTAATTCCTCTTCAATACTCTCTTCTGAACAACTTTTTCTAACACATTGCGCTAATCAGCGAACTCAATTTCGCTTCTCGTGGAGAGGCATGAAACTATTAAAGTTCGCGTATTGTCCGGACCAGGTTTCCCTTCTATATACGCACCTTCGGACGCTACCGTCAGGTCTACGACTTAGGAGGACGCCCAGGAAAGGAAGCGAACCATCTGTTTCCACCTGCAACGTTAAATTTATGGATTGCTGTTCTTGACTGACCGTGTTCAAGGGTGCGTAAATATCGGTTTCGGTTGTGGCAATTGCGAAGATATCATGAATGTATCAACCGTAGTGTTTAATCTTATGGATCTGCTCACTTATTTGAAATTTCTCCAGCTTGCTCATGAATATGTCTTCTATGAGAGGTCCCAGAGGCGAGCCCATGTCAACGCCATCTACTTGTCTGTATATTTGGCTGTCAAAAAGGAACTGCACATTCAATGTGCACTTCAGTAATAGTTCCTTTAGTGCTTCCGTCGGTATTCCTATCTCTAGTTGATTGCTTTATGGGAATTCGCAGATGTATTCGACTGTCTCGATAACCGGGACGTTTGTTAACAGCGAGGAGACGTCTATGGAGAACATTATCATGCCGTTTAAGTTCACATCTTTGATATCATCGATAAAGTCAAACGTATCTCGATAGCTCCGTGGTGCCAGTTGATGCTGCAAAGGCTTGAGTTTCGCCGCCACCCATTTCGCTATCGCATGATACGGTGAATTGCGAATGTCCAGAATCGGTGGAACTGGCAGACCATCCTTATGGATTATTCGTAGACCACACAAACGGGGGATTTGTGTGCCTACTGGTCGGAGGCTCTCGAAGCCACGGTCGCTTATGACACCTCCCGCGTAGAGTCTTCTTGAGCAGTCACTCAGCTGAGCCTCTTCAACCTCTATGCGATCTTTTTCTTTGTCTACTAACTGTTTTCTTTGACCTGACAATGCTTGCACGAATTGCATTTCACCGTTTCAGTTCTTGCAGGATGATTTATTGCAATCACTTTTTCAAATGTAACTCGCTCATTTTCCGCCCCTGCGGATTTACCACTTGCTACTAATTTTCCATAGACTGGAACAGTGCCGATTCTACCTATTTACTAGTTTGTTATCTATTTAACAAAGGAAGAGCTGGCGTTTGAGACTAAGCCGCTGGTAGTTGTGACGTCACTAAATAGAACGCGCTTCCGGATTCACATGCCCAGACAGAAAGATGGTTCCACTACACGAACTGTTTTCCATAAGAATACTTGCGAAGTACAGTACCTGTATTATCTGAATTTTGTTCCCATTGAGTGGATGGGCAACTTGTTACATACTCTCTTGCATAGACAGATAACCGTCTTCTCTATGGATACATTAAATGCAAAACTCACCTGTATAAGGAAACTTTACTTAATTGGGGATATATAGCAGTTTGTATACAAGTATAGTAAACACTTACCAACAAAAATGACGAACTAGACAGGTATTAAAAAGCCTTTTTATAACTTTGTTTTTAAAGGGCGACACGATGTTAAATACCGCCAAGGGAAACCCATTTTATTTCACTGAATAGACATACTACAAAGTAATTTCTTACCAATTATTTGTGCGAAAAAGGGTTTAATCATTGTGCGCAACTTTGAATTTTGTTTACGAATTTTCATGCACTTACGGATGCAATTAAAAAAGGCGAACACGACGGCAACTGACAGCCAGAACCAAGAAGCACTCGCATAGTTGCTGACTCGAACATATCAATAGAAGCCCTCGCTCTTGGTTATCTGAACATTTGCTAGATACGGGTCATTCCGTGGAGCCCAGGTCTTCTATTTGAGTACTTGTGTGGGCACGAAAAACTCGTAAGTTGTGCCTATATACGGTGGTCAAAACCTAACCCGTGTAAACAGTTGGCTCATGAGGTTTATCCAACGCTGCCCTGGTAACATCCAGCTCCATAACGTACATGGTTCCCTGCCCACTGTGACGACTTTTTCTTCTTATGTTTTACTTTCGGCATTGTGTTGACTCGCTTTCTTTACTGATTAGTCTTCGCCACCATGTCCTATGACCTCGTGGACGTTTCTGTACGTATTCAATTTTGTGTTTTTTTCTTTCATCATGTGTTACTTTATGCAGCGAGAGTTAGCAGCTGATGAGCACTCTCGAAATTCATGGATCCTCTAAAGTATTTGGCTGTTTTCGAAATCAGCAATGTTGCACCTGGGAAAAGTTGCTTCAAAATTCATTTTTACTCTAAAGCCAGGTTGGTATCCCTTTTTTCTCGAGTATCATTTACTGTTAGGTAATGTGGATTGAGCAGCCCAACGGTTTAAACATTTCCTACGTACTGAGGGCAAAGATTTTAAAAATGTTATAAGAAAACCAGTGCAAGCAATTAAACGACGTGACACATCAAGCCAAAACCTACAGTCACAAATATGTAACCCTTAATACCAAAATTAGTTCTTAACAAGAAAAAAGCATTTGTGCCTGATATTATCTAAGAACTCCAATGCTGCAAGTAAAAATCTTGGAATTTTGAGCCGCGTATCGACAAAGTGGTAGAAGTCCCTGTGAAATTGAGCATCGTTATATCCTAGTTAGTGTATGCATGATCTCACCAGCGCACCGAACGCATTCAACGCTCCCCGTTCAAAAGTCTGAACTGACAAGGTTTGAGATTAAATTAGTAAAAAAACATATAGATAAACACACAATGATATAGCAAAGGTAAAACGGTAGAAAGTAGGCAGCAGTTTTGAACATGCCTAATTCCGATATGATGACGAAGTCTGTACACCTTAGCACAACTGTATCATCCAACCGCATTCGTGTTCAGTGCAATTAAGTCGACATATCAGGTATATTCAAGATTGTGGAATATAGTGATATAATTAAATGGGTATGTCAATGATGATATAGAACTATACGAAAGGCTTTTTAGAGTTTGGGGGCAAGGAAGTAGTTTACTATGTTTTGTATGCTAATTGTTTTTGATTAGGCAATTCAAAGTAAGATTTCACTGGTCCATTTTACAACACGATAGAAGGCGGTAAGCGGAAACCCCAGAACAGTCAGTGAAACATTTTTTTTCTCAAGGTGATCGTGTTAGCGCAACCTTACATATGAAAGATGTTTTGCTTTTTAAGTAGATACAGCAGTCGGAAGTTGCTGAGAAAAGTCAGTTGATCGTTGTTATTCATAAGAAACCAAACATAAGTAACTTACCAACAATGGAGCTTTAGTTTTTTTTGGCTTCTAAAACTCCTTCTATGGTATGAATGGGAAAATCGGCATCAGAAAAAGTTTAATTTGGTAGACATATTCCTTTGGGAGAGGAAAGTTCAGTGTGTGAATTTTCGACACTCTCGCCAGGTCGTTGTCGGACAGATGAGAGTCATAAATAACAGTTAATTCGAAAAGGCGGCTTACAAAGAGTATATAGTGGGTTGGCGAGTTGAACAGAAAAGAAGTCATTTGCAGATCCCTTGTGGTGCCTGCAATGCAGTTTACTGTGGACAGACAGAAAGATCAATCTCCACACGCTTACGCGAATGCCAAAGAGCGGTAAAGAATTGATATTATTTGTCCGAAGTCGTCATGCACCTTAGAAACTGCACACTAATTTGTATGGGACGAAAGTTGCATTGTTGGCTCTTGACCATACAAGAAAGGCCGCGAGTTTTTAGAAGCCACGATCTCAGATTACTCTTGCATCAATAGGCACTTAGAATTGAACGCTGTGTACACCAACTTCGGGGAAGCATGGAAAGGGCGGCAACCTATCCGTACTAGATGAAGCAAAGACCAGCCACCACCGACCACAACTATGTTCCGACCGACCGCATTATTACATGCGGGTGACGACTATCGACTAATACCCTGACCTCTTATATAATCATGTGCAAGCCATCTATTTTAATTAACTGTTTTGTGCAACTGTTATCTGTCTGACTACTATCTGGTGAGCCAGTGTCAAAAGTTCACACAATAAGCTATCGTTTTCCTAAGAATGTCTTCCGAATTATTTATATAATGTCCGAATAAAAGCTTACTTTCGCACGTTGTGCGCATATTTAAAGCCAGTAGAACACTACTGTTTTCTCGCCAAGCTAATGTCGCTGGTCGATCCAACCTTCGGACGCATGCTACGATCTATCTTCAGAAATAAGAGTTGCAATATACTAAGCGACAGGTATAGGTAATGAGGGCTCAATCAAACACCAACGATCATCATTCTTAACGTAGTCGCGCATGGATCTGTATACCGGGGCTAGATCGAAGTATCATTTTACGGAGTTTTCATCGGAAATCAAGAATTCAAAGAAATTGCGGCTTAAAGTTTATTGGTCAAGCGTGTTTATCTCCGCGGCTGCGAAGGTAAATAGGTGGACCTATCCGTAAGGGTGGGTAGCGACTGGTAATCCATCGCCCCGTCGTACAACCAGCTTACGTTCTTGTATGTGCTGTTGAAGCATGCGTCTAGGCTATCCTTTGTGTTCACCAGAATGATTAAGACACAGGATGCTCTGTAATATATTCGATTGCTCGCAGGGTTTTAAGGGCCTTGATTTTCATTGCCATTTTGCGAATGGTAAATGCGGGTTGGTGCATAGTTCGGACACCTAGTCATGCAGCAATGCCTTCGGTCGCCACTGGCACGTCTTTGATCTTTCGTGCATACCATAAGGCAGATAAGTTTTCACTACGCGTCCTCCGTGGGAGAAAACGCAACCGCCCGCATATGAACACGTCCATATAACCATACAACTTAACACATACATTGTAGTAGGCTTTCGAAAGCTCAAACAAAAAGTATTAATTCAAGAAAACCAACAGCCTTCATCTTCCTTACTTAAATTGATTGTAATTGCCATTAATTGTTCTCATACTCGATCAAATTCTGCCGACAAATGCAGAAAGGTCTTCACTTATTAGGAAAGCCCACAAATGTCTGACCTGGTTTCATATTAATTATCAACAGTACAACAAAAAGTGACCAAAAATACCTTTAAGAAGCGAAAGTCCTATGTGAACGCACACGGAAATTGCAAATAATGTAATGGTTGCGCAGTCCTATTTACCTTTTGGCAAAATAACTCATTGAAACCACAAAAGGATGTTTCTACATGGCTTTCTTATAGGTAACTAAAGTATACTTCAGTGAGCGAGAACCGTATTTGCGCGCACGAAAAAATGTTGACTAGATGTTAGACCGAAAGGATTAACGTTGACGGTTTTGATTTGGTTTAAGGAATTAGCAAGGTATACGGAGTGTGTTTTCATACAGGAATAGTAAAATTAATCCAGATTTTCCAAAAAAGCTTTGAAAAGCGTTGTGGTCACAAAAAACAGCTACTAAATGCACAGAGATAACCACAACGATTTATAATTCAGCCGATATGTGTGATATTCGGATCATCCAGAAGTTTATATGACTGATTACCCATACGGGACGATTAATAATTTTGCTAGCTCCGCCTGCTTAGAATAAAACAAACGGTTAATGTCGTCAGGTGCATGTTTCTTTCGGTTTGTTCCTGTTCTTGTATTTTCAGTCTTATAAAGAGCAATTGAGGTTGCCGTCGATATCTAACATTTACGCCAACTCAATGTATTTTGTTTAAGGCGTTTTTTTGAGAAGTGGAATACATGCAAAATGGAACAACATCACAACTAGTATTTCAGTATCGGTTTGTCCAATCTGGGCTATATTCTCTACAAGAAAAATCGTTTGTGCCCAGCACACCCAACATTGTATATCTATAGCCCTACTTAAAAATATAAAGAAATTCTCACCAAAAATATTACCCTGAGAGTATAAAAAAGAGAACATCTTTTTTACAAGGATAGATTTATTTGAAGCTTTATGGACATTATCAACGAGGGGGGAAATTTAAAACATTTAAAAACCGTGCGTATTTGGTCTTCTGGTTTTATTTCGCAGTGGGTTTTCAAAGGGAGCTGCGACTTCTTAAAGGCAATAAATATTTTGTCCCAGCTGGGTTTTTTCACATCAGCTGAGGTTTTCTACCTATTTATGGCTGCAATTGCAGTTGCAGACCGATAAAACCTCTGCAGGCACTATGACTTTTGCCTAGGCGCGCAGACAGTGATGAAACGTCTAGGTGATTGGACGAGGATGAAGCAAAATGAACCCAAAAGAGACCATCAGCCCGCCGGCTTTGCCACTTTCGTTTCTAATTGACCACAGCCAATCAGCGTGCGCATAGACTGGTCCTGACGCTGACAGAGGATATATGAATGAGCTGGCAGTGTAGCGGCTGTGTTGCACACAACTGGCACGTCGCGGCCGAAATTCGCAAACTGTATTGCATTGACATTTGTTTTCCTGCTTCCCCAACTAGCCATAAGCTCGGCAGTTGGGGTGAATGAACGCTTCATATTGTGCTGAGTTACTAACATCACCACCACTAACAACTACTATACGAAAAATGGGTTGCGAAATGAGTGATCTCTGTCAATCGTGGGTATCCAAACGGTATTTGCACGGCAAAGGCATCGTCTGTGCATTGCCCGAACAGCAGAGAACGCGGAAGATGGTCTCCCTTAGCGGTGCCTTTCAGTCCAGTCCAACGGACACGCCCACCACGGGAAGCAACAAGAGCAGCTATGCCCTGGATATTAGTGGTCTAAGGCCAAGGCATAGCAGTGACCGCGGCTCCCTGGCCGAGGCGCCCCCATCTTACCATACTTCAATTGTTAACCGTGTTTTTTCGCGGCGCCGCACAATAGACGACCTGAACCGAATTGTCCTTCAAAAGATCCCAATCAGTGACTATTTCAGTGAATTTGAGAAAGATGTCCTTCTGTCTACGTGGGCAGTGCTGAGTGAGGAGGCTGACAGGCATGCGACCGCCGTTTTCAATTTAGCCTGCCAAATGTTTCCAGGTTTAAGAAATATTTTTGGAATCTCGTAAGTCGCTTTTTTACTTTGAATTTTTTTTAAATGTAATTCTGCTTTACGAAAAAGGGATTTGGCCTGAGACAGCTTCTTTACAACACTCATTTTTTTAAAAACTGCCACTGAAAGACGATTTATAACAGAAAGATTCCTAGGTGTTGCATAACTGTTATTTTGAATCCTGTTATGAACCTGCGGCACAAGCAGCATATCCAACGATGTATGATGAGTTCAGTGACCTACAATGCGAACCATCCCATTTTATAATGGTTGTCCTTCTCTATCACAAAATATTCGAAGACAGCTTAGGATTTTTAGAATGCATTGATGTGGTTTCACCCGACCAGTTTTCGAAATACTTGGAGGCAGGGAGCGACTGCTAGATCTGAAGGGACGGGCATGTGAAACAGATTCTTAAGTAAAATGAGTCGTGGTTTATCATTAAACAATAATAGTATTTTTTAGAAAACGTTATCAGTTGCTAGTTTTCTTTCTGAGCAGCAAGCGGTAGTACAGGTTTAGTAATAAATAAGATTTATAAACCGAAATATTGCTTGTGATGCGTCCTAAAGTAGGTCTCTGAAAAACGAAACGAATTGCACTCACGCCCTACACTTTAGTTGTCATATGGAGATGCAATTGAGCGGTATATGTGTCTTTGTAACACAACTGCTAGACGTAGTTTTTGCACTCTGCATTGTATTTGAACGTATTATTGCTTTACAGTCCCAGGTAGTAGTAAGGGTTATGTTTGTCTCAACAAATGCAGGTAACTTCCGAAACGATCCATATCACTCTATCCGCACTTGCCATATCTGCATTTATATACACAGAAATCCCATAAATTATAATGTCCCCATTAAATATTAAATTGTGTAAACTCTTTATGCAAGATACGATTGCGGTACCCTACGATAAGCGTGCGAAATGAAAATAATCGCAGCTTCGCCATTTCCGAATTAATTGTAATTAGATTTCGTGGCTACGTCCCAGCATTTGGTCATGCGAAATAAGCATGCATTTGCACATTTTAGCTGTGAAAATGACGACCAAGATTGCTGCGAAAGTGAGGTAGGCAAGCGGCATCGCGATGCCTACATGAACATGATTAACGACGCAATCGAGTGCTTGGAATATCCCAGAGAGGATTTCTATGACGACCTGCTTGTCGCTGGAGCGCACTATGCAACCATTCCGGGAATGAAAACCGAATACTTTAAGGTAGGCATTCCATTTTTTTAGAATTCGATATCTCAAGGGGTTAAAATTACATTAGGAGTGTCCAGTTTTCTGGTGCCCTCTCTTTAATATGTTTATCGGTTCGGCATACATATTTAGATGGTGCTGGCACTTATGCTATATTTGTTCTTTTAAAGAAAATGCTGGTTTGAGCAGAAATGTGGCCGTCCTTGTCAAATAGCGTTTGATCAATTCGTGAGTGAAAGAAGTAAGGCTAAACAAACGGCACACTTGATAACAGAATTTATTATGGTAGCAGTGGAAATGTACTTATGATGAATATTTAGCCAAGGCCTATGCAAATATAATATATTC